GAGAAGAGAGAGAAGAAACGGAAAGAAAGAGAAAAGGAAAAGGGAAAGGGAAGAAGAAAGAAAAAGAAAAGAAGAAAGAAAAAAGAGAAAGGGAATTGTGTCCTTTCTGGCCGGCACGGACCTCTGACATACAGCAGGGCGCTCCATAAACGCTTGCCACGCGAGGAGCGACGCGGCCGGCGCGGCGGCCCACCTGTGCGTAGTGGCCCTCTGCAGATGGCGCCCGCCAGTCGGGCACGGCGATGCAGTCCGGGTGCCGCACCAGCCAGTTGTCGTTGCTTGGTGAGGTAGGAGCCGGGGTACTGGGACACGGAGCCGTCCACGTCGTGGAATCACGGAGGTCTTGTCCCCGGTCATGTCCAGCTGGTTGAACCAGGGCCCGGCTCTCGAAGAACACTCTGGAAGGTGATCTTGAACAGCGCCATCTTTTCTTCTCTCTTCTCCTCCTCTCCCCTTCTCCTCTCCTCTTTCCTTTCAGTTCTCCCCTTAACCCCGCAGGACTTTTGCAAAGTCAAAGTGAGAACACCTGGAAAGCAGAATGCTTAGGACGGAAACCCTCTGGGTCAAAGGCTGGGGCTCCGGTCGGGCTCCAGCAGTTGCTATGGGACCTTGGGCAAACCACTCACATGCTCAGAGCCTCAGTCTTCTCACCCGTAAAATGGGGATAATACTTGAGCCTTCTCAGAGACATTTTGGGGATGGCTTCAGGCAGCACACGTGAAATCCTTCGCCGGCCCTATCTAGAACGAAAGTATATGCCCTCAAACTCCTGGGCTCAAGTGATCCTCCTGCCTCAGCCTCCTGAGTAGCTGGGACTACAGGCATGCGCCACTATGCCCAGCTAATTTTTTCTATGTATTTTTAGTTGTTTGGCTAATTTCCTTTTACTTTTAGTAGAGACAGGGTCTTGATCTTGCTCAGGCTGGTCTCGAACTCCTGACCTGTAGCGATCCTCCTGCCTCGGCCTCCCAGAGTGCCGAGATTTACAGGCGTGAGCCACCGCGCCCGGCCTGAGAATTAAATTTAATGAGAATAAAATATAAAACTCAGATCCTGAGCCACACGGCCACACGGCCAGCGCCCAGTGGTGGCAGTGCAGGTCTAGACGGCGCCTGACCTAGAGCAGACCCGGAAACGTCAGCCGTTGTCACGCTGTCCCCACTGCTGGTGTTGGGCTGAGTGGCCGAGGGACAAGCGAGGGGGGGGGGGTGCTCAGGGTTCAAGGGCCGAACAGGGAGCCGGGTTGTCCCAGGTGGGAAGGACGCAGCTGTGGGTGAAGAAGTGGCTTCCCAGCTGTCCTGCCAGGCAGGCTCTGTCACCACCAGCGTGGACGTGGAGATTCGGGCGCTGGAGGGCAGCTAAGTGGTGGCTTTGGTGTGGAGGAGAGACGGCAGCGGGTGCTGGCGTCAGCCTGGGAGGAAAGGCTACAGGGGCCCGCGGGCTGCCCGAGGAGGGGCAGGAGCTGGCATTCGGGGGAAGGACTGTGGTCAGGGAGGGCAGGGGCAGGGGCAGGCAGCCGGGGCAGTTCTCTCTGTGGCAGGAGGCCAGGTCATGAGCGGAGAATGCAGGGAGTGGCCTGCAGACGGTGATAGTCTTGGAGTGTGGCAGGGAGTGGAGAGTGTGGACAAGCACAGCTGGTGCAGGGGTGGGAGACGGCACTCCTGCGGGGCCCCTCTGTCCCAGACGGTGGGACTTTCTCTGCCCCACTTACGAGCCCCGGGACGGGGGGCTGTGGAATGACGGGGGGGCTCCTGCATGGACAGGAGCCTGTGTGGACAGGCGAGGGCCCAGATGAGAACGGGGCGGGGCAGGGGGCCAGGGTGGTGGCTGGGGAAGACGAGGAGGGACATGGAGCCAGGAGAGGGCTGGCAGGTGGGCGGCTTGTCCCCAATAGCTGGAGGGCGCCCAGACCCTCGGCCCCACCCACGCCACGCACTCAGCGTCCTGGGGCATCACTGTGCGAGGACCAGTGGCCCCCCACAGCTTTCCTGCTCCTCCCACCCTCTCTCTCTCTCTCTCTCTCTCTCGCTCGCTCGCTCTGCTCATCCCGCAGGAAAGGGCTGGCCAGGGGAGCCGGCCTAGGCAGCTGCACCTGGTTAATTAACCGTGACGGTCCCCTTCCTTCCCGTTGCTGCTCACAGAGCGCCTCCGCACAACTGTCACCTCTCAGTACTCGTGGCAGCTCCGTCAGGTGGGGGGGGAGGTCCTCCTCATGTCTCCTAGGTGACGGCGCCAGACGGGATGGCGAGGCCTCCCTTCCAAAGCACAGTGTCGCCATGCACATGGTGGTGGCCTCTCTTGGCCGCAGCCAGGGGACGTCCCCGCGCGATCTCGGGCTGGGCTGTAGGTGCACGGGCACCGCGGCTCACGCTGAGGCTGGGCCAGTGCGTCCAGGCACCTCGGTCCCCGAACTCAACGCTGACGGCTTTGTGCTCAGTGCTCTGCGTGCAGTGAGCCACCGTGTATTAGTCCAGGGCCACTGACACCACGAGGACTGGCCCCGGGGACCAGGCGCTGAGAGCCAGAGGGATGGGGTGGGGGCAGGCCGAGCGCACCCTGGAACTCGGGCAGAGCAGGCGCCGGCCAGGGCGAGTCGCGCTTGCAGTGGACTCCTGGACGTCCTCTGTCCCCCCACCTCCTCCTCCACAGCTCTCTCCTTTGCCGGCACTTGCCGTCTTGCCATGACTCAAACCCCCAGTCTGCACAGACAGAGCGCTTTGGGGGACGGGGAGGAGGCACTGGGCGTGGGCTGCATCCCCTTATCTGGCCCTCCTTCCACGCCAGCTCTCACGGGGCCTGCCGCGAGAAGGCGCCTTCGCCAGTGCGACCCCAGTCAGACGTCAGCCGGCCGCGCTCGCGATGAGCCCCTGCGGCTGCCTCACTGTGTGTCTCCCTTCTGGGCTCCCAAAGATGTACATCCAGGCCTACAAGACCAGCAACCTGCGGATGAAGATCATCAAGAACGACTTCCCCGGCCACCCCCTGCACCTGGAGGGCGCCCTCACTCGCAGCACCCACTACCAGCAGTACCAGCCCGTCGTCACGCTGCGGAAGGGCTACACCATCCACTGGGACCACACGGCGCCCGCGGAGCTCGCCATCTGGCTCATCAACTTCAATAAGTGAGTGGCGGGCGCCCGGCCGGCCCCAAGTGGCTGGGGGCGGCGGTTCCGGCTGAGCTCCAAGTCCCGGCTTTGCCGCGCTCGGAAGCTCCGGCCAGCCCAGGCGACCCCGCAGGAGGGACCCGGAGGGCTGACACCATCCAGGCATGGAGAATCAGGCTGAGGCTGTGCACGGTGGCTCACGCCTGTCATCCTAGCACTCTGGGAGGCCAAGGCGGGAGGATTGCCAAAGGACAGGAGTTTGAAACCAGCCTGAGCAAGAGCGACACCCCGTCTCTACTAAAAATAGAAAGAAATTAATTGGCCAACTAAAAATATATAGAAAAAATTAGCCGGGCCTGGTGGCGCATGCCTGTAGTCCCAGCTACTCGGGAGGCTGAGGCAGGAGGATCACTTGACCCCAGGAGTTGAGGTTGCTGTGAGCTAGGCTGACGCCACGGCACTCACTCTAGCCTGGGCAACAGAGCAAGACTCTGCCTCCAAAAAGAAAAAAAAAGAATCAGGCTGAGCCCCCGCTGTGGGTCTGGGTGGCCTTGGGTAGGACACTTGACCTCTGGGGCCTCCTTTGGGACGGGAGGTGCCACCCGCAAGTGCGCAGAGAGGATGGGTGGGACGACGTGCGCCGTGTCCGCCCGGACCTGGATTGCCAGGCGCTCGCTAGACGCCAAGCCCCTGGGTGCTGCTGTCACCGTACGCTGAGGCTCTGCGGGCCTTGGTGGTCGGCCGAGGGCACCGACAGCCTCACGTGTCTGTGTGCGAGTGTTTCCTGCGCACACCGCTTGCCTGCCGTAGCGTCCCTGTGGGAAAGACGTTTATCAGACTCGGAAAATGAGACCCAAGGAGGTGAAACGGGCCCCCCAATCGCACTGGACCGGGGGGGGGCGGGGGGCGCACCGAGGTCGCTCAGACCCTGCGCCCCTCACAGCCCGGCGACAGGGTGTCCTTTCCCCGCCAGTGTGGGCGTCAGGGTGCTCCTGTCTCACCGGGAGCCACCTGCTGTGCCTCTGCCCTTGCCCCTTGCACTCAGGCAGTCCCACAGCGAGGTCTTCCCAAACGCCCGTGCAGAAGTGGGTGCCGGCTGGCGGGGACTCCCCAGTCTCTCTCTGAGCCTGGAAGGCCTCATGGCCCCCGGGCCCGGACACCCTCGCCCGTGACCAGCTCTGCCTCCGCTCCCAGGGGCGACTGGATCCGTGTGGGGCTGTGCTACCCGCGGGGCACCACCTTCTCGGTCCTCTCGGACGTGCACAACCGCCTGCTGAAGCAGACGTCCAAGACGGGCACCTTCACCAGGACCCTGCAGATGGAGAAGCTGGAGCTCGGCCACCCCGGCAGGAGCCACTACTACTACTGGGACGAGGACTCAGGGTGAGCGGGTGCCCTGGGGATGGTGGCTTGGCCCCAGGGACCCCGAGAGCGGCCACCTAGCCGGTGCCGGTTAAGGCGGCAGTTTCCTCGGCCGGCTCGGGGCCCTGTGCTGTGGTGACATTTTAACGCTGCTAAGCTTCGGGACGGAGACAAACCACCTGTGACATGCGTATGGGGTTTAGGGCATGCGCCTGTTGCGGGGAAAAGGCGAGGGCAGCGATCTTGGAACCCAGAAAGCATGGACCATTATCCCAACCCCCACGGCACCCCGTGGGAGCAGAGGACTTCATCTCTGTGTTGGGGATGATGACGGTGACTGTGGCCGGCCACAGCTCACGGGCCCCTTGCCGGCGGTGCTGTTGGGGACAGAGCTCCCCGATACTGTCCCGGCTCTACCTCCCTGGCCCCCGAAGCCCAGGGCGTGGCTGGCCAGGGCACCCGTCTCCGTGGGCTCAGCCACACGCCCGCCCGGCCCACCCATCAAATCAGCCCTCGCCACCCCGGACAGAGCGGACAAGGGACCGGGCCAAGGCCGGGAGCGTTTAGGGAAAACCCCCCCAATATGAAAACCAGAGGAGGAGCTGGGTCGCCCCACATGCCGGCGGGAAGTATCGTGATGAAAGAGCCAGACGTGAGGGAGGTGGCGTCCCCGTGACGCCGTGGCGCAGGTTTTCTCTTCTTTCTAGGATCATAGGAAATAGGATGCTCGGAGGAAGGGAATTTTTCAAGCGGAAACTGCAGCTAAGCAAGCTGAACCGCTCTGACCGAATCGTTTAAACATCTGTCATTTGTCCGCTCATCGCCTTGAGCAGGTTCTGCTGTGCGGTCCGGCCTCTTTGTTGGCGGCTGAGCTGTGCGCCGTGCCGGCCGGTCGGCAGGCCGTGCTCGCAGCCGGTGGCACCTCGTGGGCGGGCTGGGTCGTAGGCTGCTGTCTGCTGCAGGGACGGGCGCCACGCTCGGGCTTGTTGCACTCTCGGGGCTGTTTTTGGTTCTTTCTGCCTTAAAAATTTGTCACTGTTTCTTTCTCGGCTGGAGCGCCCCTGCCTCGGTGGCTGCCGTCCTGTCTGCCACCGGCGGGGACGCGTGACGGCCAGCTTTCTGTCCTTAGGGCAGCATGAGAATGAGCAGCCAGAGGGTGGAACACACAGGCTCTGAGCCGTCTCTGGGCGTTTCCAGGTAGCAAAGCCCTGAGAGCTGAGCCTTCCGGCCGCCCCCTAAGCAGGGAGAATGGAGTCACGAATCCACGCGGCACTGAGGGTGGGCAGCCCCGAGACAGGGTCCGAGGGAGGCGGGCAGGCGTCTGTGCTGCTCTCACCCCTCCTGGGGCCGCACATCTCAGCTGACGGTGACACGTCCGGTCGTAGGTCAGGGCGAGGGAGGGCGGCCGGATCCGTAAGACAAGGGGCGTGGGCGAGGTGGTCTGAGGCCCCTCCCGGTTCAGACAGTCGGCTGCGTCGCGGCAACAAGGAAACCCCAACGCTGTTAAGTCTCGTGCAGAAGCCCCGGGGCCGATCCCACTCTGCACGGCGGTGCCGGGTGGCTTTGACCCTGCTGGGAGCCTCCGGGGGAGCCGTGGCCGTGGGCAGCCCCAGCCGCTCTGAGGATCACAGGGCACAGAGCACAGGTGGGGTATGCGCCATGCACAGCCTGGGCGTGGGACCCTCCAGCAGTTTCTACTTCATGCAGGGACCACTTGTTGCAGGAAACACAAAGGTTTTTTTTTTTTTTTTTTTTTGAGACAGAGTCTCACTCTGTCGCCCGGCCTAGAGTGCCGTGGCATCAGCCTTGCTCACAGCAACCTTAAACTGCTGGGCTCAAGCAATCCTCCTGCCTCAGCCTCCTGAGTAGCTGAGACTACAGGCATGCACCACCATGCCCGGCTAAATTTTTCTATATATATTATTTGGCCAATTAACTTCTTTCTATTTATAGTAGAGACGGTCTTGCTCTTGCTCAGGCTGGTCTCGAACTCCTGACCTTGAGCAATCCTCCCGCCTTGGCCTCCCAGTGTGCTAGGGTTACAGGCGTGAGCCAGCGCGTCGTGAGCCAGCGCGTCTGGCCAAAACACACAGTTCTTGGCATGGGTGGCTTGAAACAGAGAGACACTCCAGGGAGCCCAGACACAGTGGCCGAGCCACTGAGGGAAGAAGCCGAGGGTCTTCGAGACGCACAAACGCAGCCAGGCCCCTGGGCTCTGGCGCTGAGCACGGCCAAGGCACGGGCGGCAGTGGGCTGCCGGCCCACCTCTCCCTTCTCTCTTTCTCCCCATGTGCCCACGTGTGCACACGCACGCCGTCTCTCCTGTCAGCTCTTGGCTGTGCACTGCCGCCTGCCCCCCAGGCCCTCAGCAGGCATGTGGCACGGAGTGGCCGAGCCAGCCCCTCCACGCGGCCTTCCCGCCACGCACCTGCCCGGAGTCGACAGGACCCCAGGGCCTGCGGGAGGGAGACCCTTCTTGGTTACGGGGCAGCCAATCCGTGGCCCCTCCGTGGGTCCCACGTGTGCCCCACCGTGTGGCAGGCACTGGGGGTCACAGCAGCGTAGGGCGACCCCAGCACGTGGTCCAATGGGGCGTGGCTCCCAGAGAAGGCCTGTACGAGTTAGCCCACGTGGCGTCTCCTCACGTGGCAGACGTGGGACTCGGCCTGACAGCATTTTTCTGGGCTAGAGGAATGGCGATGACGAATGGCAAGGTACTGCCGTGGTCTCCCATAGTCTGACTCCCGGGCCACCCTCAGCTTCCGTCACAGTAATCACCGCGAACACGTCACAAAACGACGTTTGCAATGAATCAGGGTTTGGAGAAAAGCGGGGTTGGGAAGGCGGAGAACATTTCCTCGCCAGGCACAACGAGGGGGACCCGGCCCCGCCACTTCCCGCCGCCGGGTCCCGGGCCCGTCACTGCCCGGCTCTGAGCACGGCTGCTCCCCCGGGAATCGGGATGGCCGCGGTGCCACTGGACAGGAGGGTCAGTGAGAGGAAACGCCACTTCTAGTGGGCGCCTGGTGCGGCGTGCAGCACGTGCTCAGAACGCAGTCGCTGCCATCGTCAGCTTTTCCCCAACGCGATTTTTAAAAATTTCTCCCACCACACACAACCTCTGTCTCCCAGGCCTGCTGGGCCCCCCGCTCAGCAAGGCCAAGCCACGGCGGACTCGTGGGTGGTGGGGGGAGGAGGGGAGGTCCGGACACCACGCTGAGACCCGCCACGCCCCCTCCCTCCCTCCCCGTGCGCAGGCTGCTGCTCCTGAAGCTGAGGGCCCAGAACGAGAGGGACAAGTTCGCCTTCTGCTCCGTGAAAGGCTGTGAGCGGATCAAGATCAAGGCCCTCCTCCCCAGGAACGCCGGCGTCAGCGACTGCACGGCCGCGGCCTACCCCCGCTTCGCCGAGAGGGCCACGGTGGACGTGCCCATGCCCCGGAAGCTCTCTGGTCCCCAGCTGGTGAGTGGCCGCCGCGGGCGCCTGCACCCCACGGGGCTGCTCGGCTCCGCACACCCCTCCTGAGACGGGGTGGGGGACGGAGGCTTTGGGGGCCGCCAGGCCTGACCCTGCCCATGTTCGTCCCCCCCAGAAGACCGGCGACCGCTTCCTGGAGGTGAAGATGGAGAGCTCCCGGCAGCACTTCTTCCACCTGCGCAGCGACGGCGCCTACATCGAGGTGAGAGCCGCGGCGGGGAGCGGCGGCTTTCGTCTCCCTGGACGGATCCGGTTTAAACCAGGAAGGCTTTTCTCCCCCAGTTCAGGGGCCTGGGGTCCAGGCGCTGGCGGGCCGGTTCCTTCTGGAAACTGTCCCTGTGGCTCTCTGCGCCTGTCTCGGGACCTAGGGCCAGCCCCAAACCCCAGACGATCTCCCCTGAAACCTTCCACTTAATCACGTGCGCAGAGGCCCTGTTTCCAAGCAGGTTCCAGCCGGTGCATCTCTCCCCCGGGACCATGGGTCCGGCCGCTGCAGGGGGCTCCAAGGACCCGAGCGGGGTCCTTGCTTGGAACGGCCGTGCAGCGGCCTCAGTCTGCCCCGGGGACCGCCAGGGCGGGCAACCTGGGGCTCCCCCTCACTGGGGTGCCTTGGCTGCGCAGGTGGACGGGCGGAGGTACCCCGGCACGGAAGATGGCATCCAGGTGGTGGTGGTCGACGGGCGCCAGGGCCACGTGCTGAGCCACACAAGCTTCCGGAACGCCGTCCTGCAGGGCATTCCGTGGCAGCTCTTCAACTACGTGGCGGCCATCCCCGACAAGTGAGTCCCTGTCTCCGCCCTGGAAATGGCCGGCGGCACAACAGACCCCCCCCCCCACCTGCTGGGCTCAGGCCCTCCCTGTCCCCGAGGCCTTCGTCTCGGACGGGCTGAGAACGCTCGGGGAGGGTCCGCAGCTGCCCGCGGGTCCCGGGCCGTGGCCTCCACGCCGGAGCCGGGCCGCTGAGGACGGAGGTCAGGCCCGGCGGCCCCCAAGAGGGGAAGGCTGCCCTGGCCCGCGTCCCTCCTGGCCGCATGCGCTCCCGGCATGACCTCATCCCTCCCACACCTTCCCATGATCCAAGCGCTGGTGGCTCCTGACACCTCCGGCCCAGATCTCTTTCCCGAGCGCCAGGCGTTCGGATCCCGCTGGGACTTGGAGAAAGACCCCCTGACGTCTCCCAGGGAGCCGAACGCCCAGCCTCTCTCTTCCAGCCCTGCCCACGCCAGCACCGAGGCCACGGCCTGCTCGTGGGCCCCCCTCTTCCACTCGCCCCAACCTGAACCCACCTTCCATGCTGGCCGCTGGCGTGAACTTCTCAAACGTAGGGGCCGCCAGTGGCCCCTCCTGGGCCGTCTCTGGGGATCCCCCACCACCTGCAGGCCTAGCGCCCGCGTCACCTCCTCGGTGAGGCCCCTTCCCATCCAGCCAAAAGGCTCTGCCTCCGCTACAGCGCCACACACAGCAGGCCTGGCGGACACGCCTGCCGCCCCACCCAGGGTGCCGCCTCCGACGCCGGGCCGCGTCTGCCCCACGCTTGCGTTTCTAGCTCAGGACCTGGCGGGTCCACGGCGTGGAGCTCACGCAGCAGCTGCGACCTGGCGGGAAGTCTAAGTGCTTAACGTGGTGCTGCCACGTAGCAGGTGCTCAGTAAACACTCACTGAACGACGACAAACGCACTTCCCAGGTGCTGCCTCCGTGCTGGGCGCGGGGTGTGCAGGCCGCCCTCACCTCGCAGGGGTGCGGCTCTGGGGAGCGGTGGGTTCTGCTCACCCGAGGCTACCCGCCCCCCACCCCCAGAGGCTCCTGTGGCATCATGTTCCCGTGTGCAGACTCACTCAGAAGGATGAGCTTTATAATTTTGGAAAGATACGTCTGTCCTCTGGCGATCAGTAGTCATCCCGCCATTTTTGGCCGGGGACTTTCTCTGGAAGAGAAACAGGACGCAGAAGCTTGGAATGAAAACCTAGAGCTGGGCCGCTGTGGTGGGAACAGCGTGGGAGGCTCCGTTCAGTCTGCGCCGCAGCCCCCACGCCCTCCTGGGGGCCCTCGGGGCAGCCAGGCATGGGCTGCGCTGGGTACAGGACAGGAATCGGCACCACCGGACCCCTCTCTGGACAGCGGGGGGGGGGGGCAAGACAGGTCCCTCCCCGCCCGTCCACAGGCCACCACTGTCCCCAGGGGCAGAAGAGGGCAGCTGCTCGCCCCAGAAACACGGAGGGCGGCTTCCTGGGGCTGCCTCTGCCCCGCCCCCCGTGGGAGAGCCCTGCCGGCTGGCGCAGGGGCTCGGAGGCCCTGAGGATCGTATACCGGGGGCAGAGGGGGCGCCTGGCGTGGCAGGCAGGCCGTGGTGGCACATGCGGCTCGTGTCTCTGTGCCACGGCCATGAGCTCACCCAGAGCCTGTCTAAAAGGCGTGGCCCGTGCTCGGGTCCACCCGGCAGGAGGCTAAGCTCCGCCCAGGGGCCGGCGGCTTCCTTCTGAAACAGGATGAGGGAGAAATATCACCCCGGGAAACAGAGGCAGAAGCCGAGTCAAGGACGTGTCCCTCGGGCCTCCTCCCGAGGCAGCCTCCCCCCCATCCTGATGGTGTGCAAGCCCTTCGCCCTCCTAGAGCTTTTCTGCAGCTCCCAGTGGGGCGAGGATGGGCGTGAGGCCGGGCTCCAGAGCCCCGGGCGGTTTGTCACGCCCAGACGGTGGCCTGTGGTCACGGCAGCTCACCGGGGATGCAAGCTGGAGGCGCCCCCAGCCTCCGTGCCGATCTGCTTCCCGAGTGGGCGCTCACTTCTGCCGTTGGGCCAGCCCGCTGCGCCCACACAGGGAGGCCGTGTTCCCAGACGGCAGACCGAACACACGCGTCGCCCAAGGCCGGGGCAGACGCTGCTGGCTCCCAAGCGTGTCTTTTGCAAGTCGGGCCTTTGGGCTGGACACGCACTGCTCTCACCTCTGCCTCCCCGGGACAGTCCGCTTGGTGGGTCCTCCTAGGCCTTTGTAACTCTTTGCCTCGGTCTCCCCTCTTGCCAAACGGAGACCGTGAGCCTGTCCAGCCTGTCCTGCCTGTCCTGGGGGAGGGGTGACACGCACGCAGGAGGCCGGCCTGAGCATGTGGCAGCTCCAGGGAGGTGTCAAACCCGGCCAGTCCCGCCTCGGCTCGAGGGGGCCGGCTCCGGGCCGCGCAGAGAGGAAACCCGGGCTCCGGGAGAACCTAGCGCGGGGCGGCTGGCCCGTGGCGTGTGCGCGGTGCCCTGGAGACCTTGCCCAGCGCAGATGCCACGTGGAAGTTCTGCTGCGGGTCCAGTCTGGGGTCGTGGGGGTTCCCACGTGACGCCAGTGCGGCTGGTCCCCGAGGTGCCAGTGCCATGAGGGGCTCCTGGGAGGCTCCGTGGTTGGACAGATGCTCCCGCCCGTCCCCCTCGCTGCCTCCCCCGCCCCGTGCCGCTCCTGTGGGTGGCTTCCCCGTCGTCAGCCTGTCCTGCCCAACGGGGCTGAGAACACCCGCACGAGGAGACGCACGCCGCAGTCCCCGTAGGAGCGTGGTCCTGGCGCAGGTGCCGGCCCGGATGGCGTGCCCTGCCACGTACCCCGTCCTGCCCGGGGACAGACGTGTCCGGCCCGGATGGCGTGCCCTGCCACGTACCCCGTCCTGCCCGGGGACAGACGTGTCAGGCAGTCAGCCGCGTCCGGGCCTGGCCAGCTGCGTGGGCGGGTGCTCGGGATACACGCTGCCACACAGGACGAGCCCGCCAGCTCGGCCCAGGGGGAGGCTGCCCTTTCCTGGATGCCTGGCAGGCCCCGGGCACGGCCAGCCCAGCCCAGCCCCTCCGCAGGCCCCAGTCTGCTCGCTCGCTCCGGCCGTCTCACCCGCCCCTCTCCCGCAGCTCCATTGTTCTCGTGGTGTCCAAGGGAAGATACGTCTCCAGGGGCCCGTGGACCCGCGTGCTGGAAAGGCTGGGGGCGGACAAGGGCGTCAAGCTGAAAGGTGAGCGGGGCGGGGACGGGGCTCACACTGCCCCCAAGCTGAGGAAGGCACAGGCCAGGCACGGAGGCTGCGGTCCCTTGCTCAGTCCCTGCCCTGCGCCCCACCAAGCCGGGTCCCGTCCCTTGCTCGGTCCCTGCCCTGCGTCCCACCAAGCCGGGTCCCGTCCCTTCCTCGGTCCCTGCCCTGCGTCCCACCAAGCTGGGTCCCGTCCCTTGCTCGGTCCCTGCCCTGCGTCCCACCAAGCCGGGTCCCGTCCCTTGCTCGGTCCCTGCCCTGCGTCCCACCAAGCCGGGTCCAGCCTCAGAGCTCTCAGCACAGCTCGAGATCCACCGGAACAGACAGGACACATGCCACCTGTTTACTGCCCTGCATGGCAGCGGCTTCATTTCAATCTGCTCCAGACAATTGCTGGAGTCGTTTGCTCCTCTGCTCAGCGAGTGGGCTCTTTCCTCACCCGAGTGTCACCAGAGGCGTGGCTCTGTCTGACCCCTGCCAGGCCTTGCTCCCCACGTCCTCCTCCACATCCCAGCTGGCATCCGCCCTCTGCCGTGTGCAGACCCCGACTGGCTCCTCTGAGACGGGCGGAGGGGGAGAATGCAGCCCAGACAGCTCACCTGAGGCCGAGCCCAGCGCAGACTTGCTGGCCGTGCTGGAGGGCCCTGCCAGGACAGGAATGTCCCTGTGACGCGTGCTGTCCTCACAGACTAGACTCAGAGAGTCCTGGGGGAGGTGGCGAGGGCAGGAGAGCAGCCCGGCAGACGGCAGGGGTCACTGTGGCTGCTGTGTTGTGTTCAGCCGTCCCCCTGGCTGTTCAGCCGTCCCCCTGGCTGACACTCGCCATGCACTAACACCTGTGTGCCAGGTGCTGCTATTTCCGTGTCAGGTGAGGACTCCCAGAACTAGACAGTCAGGCCACCTGCTTACGGTCAGGATTTGGAGCCTGCTTTTCCCTGTGCAAAGCCGGGCTTCTTAGTCACTTCACCACCCTGACCGTGGAAAACTATGGGATGTCTATCCCAGGCAGCGACGGGAGCAAAGTCAGAAACAGTGAGAGCCCTGCAAAACCAGCGTGGGAGAACACCAGGAAGAGAAGCTTCTTTTCTAGTCCAGGCCTGGAATTATTCCGGGGCCTCTCTCTTGCCTTTTAAATTAAGACCCTGTTGCCAAAAGTCGGTGTATGTAAGGTGATCTAAGTCGAGTGGCACTTGCCCAGAGGTGACAAAAGTGTGCCGCCTGCCAGGCCGGGCTGTCCCTGCATCTAAAACACAGATTCCCACACCCCTGGGACGCTCGAGCTCTGCAAGGCGGAGGGGGCTCCCGAGGGGTTCCGGGGTCCAGAGTTCTAATCCGGGCTGCACTGAGTTTACCCCGAGGCCTTGGACAAGTTCCCCCACTTCTCAGAACCTCCTTCCAAGGCCACAGAGTGACAGAGCTGGGAAAGAGACAGACCTGGCAGAGCAGTGCCAGCGTTTGGCAGAGGGCAACACCAGGCTTCAGGGAGGGCAGGGACTCGCCAGTGGCCATAGTAGCTGCTCAAAGGCAAGTGGGTTCCTGGGGGTGTCCTCCCTCCCGTCCTGCTGTGTGTGGCTGGAGCCACACCTGCCCAAGGGGCTACACCTGCCCAGGGGGCCACACCTGCCCAGGCGAGAAGGGGAGCCTGGTGGGGGCGGGCAGCCGTTCTCGGAGGGGTTTTGCTCACATGACCCATCGTTGCTTTCCAGAGAAAATGGCTTTCGTGGGCTTCAAAGGCAGCTTCCGGCCCATCTGGGTGACTCTGGACACTGGGGACCACAAGGCCAAAATCTTCCAGGTCGTGCCCATCCCTGTGGTCAGGAAGAAGAGACTGTGAGGACAGCTACCACCCCGCGCCCCCGCGGTGGACTGTGACAGCGACTTTGGTGGCAGCCCGGGGCAGGACGGCCGGTCCCCCAGCCCTGCCCAGCGGCTGCCTGGGAAGGCCGAGTGTCGGCCCCGACGGGCAAGGGGCGGACGTCGGGGACCCTGGTGCTGCCACCTGCCCCCACCCAAGTGTCTACCTGCAGCCCCGGGGGCGGCGTTGGCCCCTGCGGGGAGCCTCCTCTCCCTGCGGCCTCTCGGGTGCTTCTCCCACCTGTGCCTCTCCGGCAGGGCGTGCGGGGGCGACAGGCAGAGACCCGTGTCCCGCTGGCTACAGAGGTCCCCGGCCCGCTAGGATGTGGCCGGGAGGGCCAGCCGCTCACTGATCCCGTGGTCCCTGCAGACACCTGAGGGCAGTGGACGCAGGAAGGGAGCCCTGGCTTTAAGGCAACCTCAATCCCTGTGGGCAAGAACCGGCCTCACGGGAGTGGGAGCCGCTGCCCGTGGGGAGGGGGCCAGCCCTGCCTCCGGCCGTGCCCCACTGCTCAGGAGACCGGGATTGGGACTAGGTGACTGTCAAAGGCCCGTGCGGCTCTGAGAGTCCAGAAGTCAGTGGCTTTTCACTTTGTCCGTGGGACCCAGCAGTGGGTGGGAACATTCTCTGCAGCCACATCCACGATGCTGGGGCCCCGGGCACACGGGTGGAGCCAGGAGGACGGCCCCGGGCTAAGGCTTGCAGGCTGCTGGGGGCAGTCAGGGCTTTGCACGCTGACACCAGGCAGAGCCACAGGGAGGCACGGGAGAGACCGGCACCCATCCGGGGGGAGGATCGCACGGCTCGGTGGCCGGGAAGGCTTCCTGTAGGAGGCGGCAGTGGTGCATTTTGCAAATGAAGGGTGGGGCGCTTTGACGGGAGAGGTGAGGCGGCCTCTGGAGTGTCTCAGGGCTGAGCCCTCCCTGCCAACACAGGGCCACCCTTTGCCCTGGGCTCGCTGCCCTCCACGCCAGAGGGGAAGAGGGGCTGGGCTGCCATGCCCACGGCACTGAGGGACTCCGTGCCCAGCTGGCCCTGCCTGTGACTCCGGAAGGCTGGACGCAGGTCCCCGGGGGTAAGCTCCCGCCCTGGGGCCTCATCCGCACTCCCCCCAGGGAGCCGAGCAGGGAACTCACCTGGGGGGCCCCAGGACGTGCTCACACCCTGAGCTCGCGATGTCAGAGCGGACAGGGCTTAGGAAAGATCTAGTCCAGAGCCTCTGCAGTACAGACGGGAAAACGGGACCCGAGACGGGAAGAACCACACGGCCAGGGCAGGGCCCTGGGAGCCCCTCCCCCAGCAGCACTCGCTGCCCCACCAGACAGCTGGACAGCCGCCCAGAGCACCCGGCGCCTCCTACCGAGGTAGTTTCCCAAAACTGAGACAAGCCCCCTTGAGGGGAAGAAAATAACCAGAACAGAGCGCTGCTGTCTCCTTCCGGCTCCTCTGCGCACACGACCCGCCCTCCCCCAGGTCCTGGGCGCCTGGCCTCACCGGGTGCCCACAGCCCGTCGTCCCACTGGTGCTACCTGGCCCTGCAGCGCTGCAGGCCCAGCCCTGGTCCTGCCAGCCCCTGCTCCCCGCTGGGCCACTCCAGCGAGGGCCGAAAGGCTCCCGGGAGAGGAAAGCCTGTCTGTGGCTCTCGCTCCCACGAGGCCCCGGGCCACACTTGTCCCGTGTTCCTGCCCGGCTGCACCTGAGGCTCAGCCTAGCGTCCCCGGGTGGGTGGAGCCAACTGCCGGAGGGCTCTTCCCCACCCAGCCGTCTTCCTGCCGCTGGGAGGTGACAAGGGGACTTTTAAGATACGGCTGCTCCAATGGCCAAAATCACAGGAAGGACCTCGTCCGGGGAGATTAGCGGTGACCTCATGTCCTTCTTGTCTGCAGTTCGTTGGGTTTTGGAACTCAGTGGGTGCCAGGGTCTCACACTGTGAACCACTTAGGATGTGACTGCTTCCAGGTGGCCAGGAATGCTGAACGTCTTTGGCTCAGTTTATTTCAAAAAAAAAAAAAAAATATATATATATATATATAGAGAGAGAGAGAGAGATTTGAAAGTTCTCAGAGGTTTTCGTGTTTAGCGGGATCTGCACATGAAACTTCCTTTCCTGAGCTACTCACCGAGAGCCAGCGTCTAGGCGTTTTTCTTGGTAGCACAAATGTTCTTCTTGCTTAGAAAATGGTTCTTGTCGTACTTCGCGAGAGTTAGAGCGAGGCAGGCCTTCGTGGAAAACAACATTCCTCCGAAACGCTCTCGTCTTTCCACTGTCGCCGAAATAGCTGGTCCTTTTTCGGGAGTCCGCTGTGCCCTGTGTTCTGTGTGTCACCTTCCTTGCGGGCGTCACCGTGAACAAAGAAATACTTTCTATTTATTTATTATATGTGCACTTCTAGAAGTCACTGTCAGAGAAAATGAAGAATTATCTTGAACGTCCTGTTCGGGGATGTCCTTTGTACGTTTGGAGGGCGTGCGCCCAGCGCCGGGCACGCCAGCTCTGGCTTGGAAAATCTCGACGCACCGTAGTAAACACACGAAGGATGTCACTGTCTCGTCTGTTTTGTTTCCTATTAAAGTGGGCTTCGTTTCAAACCCGCCGTCTAAGGGAAGCAAGATTGCTGAGATCACCCTGTGAGTCCGCTTCTCATACGCCCATGGCCTGTCCCCAAGAACTGTCCCCATGTCCACATCCCTCCTCGCCCTCGCCCCAGCGGCACCCATGCGAGCAGGTGACGGAGGTTCGGAGAAAGAGACGACAGTCACGTGACGGTCCAGAACATGCAACGTCCTCCACGTCCCTAAGCGTCTGTAGGCACTGACAGCCCAAGGGGAAGCCAGGCAGACAGGCAAGGTGACATGCTCGGCCTGACCGGGGCAGAGGCCAGAAAGGGAGGCTGAAGGCGTCACAGAGTGAGTGGGAAGGAGCTCAGTGAAGGAGGCGGAAGAACGTTCTGGCAGAGGGGCAGGAGCTGACCGAGCCGGGGGTGGGGACAGAGCCGACGCCACGGGAGGGGCTGGGCTCTTCCCCACACGGGCTGGAGGGAAGACGGCACGGGGGTGTCTGTTCAGAGAGATCCCAGGGTGCCCCAGAGAGGCCAGTAAAGTCACAGCTAAGAGCATCTGCCTAAAATGCGATGGCATGGAGCTGGAGGCGGGAATATGGGGGAATGTCGTCCCCTGGCCACGGGACAGTGTGTGCTGGGCACAGAGGCAGTTCCTGAGGCGTCAGGCACCCTCCCGTCACCCCCGGCTGGCCCAGAGGCACACAGAACCCTAACCCCTCCCCCAGCTCGGGGATCTCAGTGTCCCCAGAGCGTGGCCTGTGACCTCCTCCCTCCACCTGGCATCCCCTCCCCTGTGCCCACTTGCTCTCCATGGTGCAGTTCCACACAAAGGACCTCTGACCCGGGCACCTTCCTCCTCCCTCTGCATCCCCTGCCTGGCCCCAGAGCCTCGATATCCGGCACCTGCTGCAAGTCCCTCACCCCCGGCCAGACTTGGATGGCCTCCGAGCAGACACACCTGACCCCGCTGCCCAGGCTGTGTGTGTAACACGCCCAGTACCTTGAAGGAAGGCGTGAAGCAGACCCTGTCTCCTCCCTCTGCCTCCACCACAGAACCTGGGCCCCTGCTGCCGCTGCCCTGCGACCCCACCCCAGCTGCCCGACCCTGGGGGCTGGGCAAGGGGGGGCGGTCCCCCCCAGTGGCAGGGGAGGGGGCAGGGCTCCTCCTTCTCGCAGGAGCAAGTCCACAGGCACCTGGCAGGGCCCTCCTGTCCTGGGGCGGAGCGGGGAGGGGGGGGACGGGGGAGGGGGAGAATGGGGGCGCGGGGGGGACAAGGCAGGAGTCCCTGCTCCAGGCCCTGCCCTGCCCTCCAGAAAGCAAGCGGGGCACCGGGCAGCTCAGCAGCACTCAGGCGGGCTCTGCTGCTCCGGGCGCGGCCCACGGCCCAACGGCAGCAGCATCAACATCAGCCTCGCAGGCGGCCAACTAGAAACAGACTTGCGGCACCCCCAGACCTGCTGAGTCAGACCCCAATTTTCATAAGAGCCCCCGGGGCAGCTGTTTGCACTGTGAAGGTGAGCAGTGTGGCTTTATGAGTCCAGGAAGAGCCCAGGGAGCTCGTCCGGGATGAACCTGACTCCAGGGCTGCCTGGGCCAGAAGACGGGAACGGACACAGAGCTCTGGATTCAGGATCCGAAGGCCTTAGCAGCCAACCCCGCCCCAGGGTACCCGATCCCTCCTTCCCTGACCCCGTCCCCACTCACTGAACTCCTGGGGACAAGGAACACGTCTGCAGAGAGGTCGAGGCTTAGGTATTACTCAGGTGAGAGCAAAACACAGTAACTCTCGGATACACAGGTGCTTAGAAAGGGCACACCTGGGTGCTCTTCCTGAAGGAAATTACTCCAAGGTATTTGTTCTCTAACTCACACAGCAGAAACAAATTTAAGAATTCAAGAATAGGGCCTGGGCTCGGTGGCTCACACCTGTAATCCCAGCACTCTGGGGGCTGAGGCAGGTAGATTGCTCAAGGTAAGGAGTCTGAGACCAGCCGCAGCAAGAGCGAGACCCCTGTCTCTACTAAAAAGAAATTATCTGGACAAGTAAAAATATATATACAGAAAACATTAGCCGGGCATGGTGGCGCATGCCTGTAGTCCCAGCTACTCGGGAGGCTGAGGCAGGAGGATTGCTTGAGCCCAGGAGTTGGAGGTTGCTGCGAGCGAGGCTGACGCCACGGCACTCTAGCCCGGGCAACAGAGCCAGACTCTGTCTCAGAAGAAAATAAAAAAAAAAAAGAACAGGAAAGGCAAAAACAAACAAACACCTGGCAGAGCTGGCAGCAAACCCTGACATCCCAAAGACATTGAAAAAGTATTATAAGCGTAAACACAGAACCGCGTGCAAAGCCGAAACAGACAGCTGCCTGACACCATCCACGAAGGAAAGCCGGTTGTCACCGGGACATGCCAGACACGTGAGCACAGGCAGGAGAGCTGGCGCAGACGGAGGTCATGCCAAAGGCCTCACCTTCCTTGTGGGAGGAAAATGTCTCCTGTTACCCTAGACGTTGGCAGACTCCTAATTATAGGTTCAAGAATGAAAACAGAAACTAATGGTGATAGCTAATAGCACTTCAACTGAGACGTCTCCTTCCCAAACCACTGCAGAAGATGAAAACAAAATACCCTCTACATAACGAGAGAATACTAAGGTCACCACAAGAAAACACAAAAATGACCACAGGGCACGGGGGTAGACGGGAGTGTAGACGTTACCGTAGTAACAGTATGTCACCAACGTAGGTTTCCTTGCCAGAAATCAAAGACCCTCAGATTCGATTAAGAAAACACAATTAGGGCCAGGTGTGGTGGCTCACGCCAGTAATCCTAGCACTCTGGGAGACTGAGGCAGGAGGGTTGCTTGAGCCCAGGAGTTCGAGACCAGCCTGAGCAAGAGTGAGACCCCCCCTCCCCCCGTCTCTACTAAAAATAGAAAAAAATTAGCCGGGCGTGGTGGCGCATGCCTGTAGTCCCAGCTACTCGGGAGGCTGAGGCAGGAGGATCGCTTGAGCCCAGGAGTTTGAGGTTGCTGTGAGCTAGGCTGACGCCACGGCACTCTAGCCCAAGCAACAGAGTGAGACTCTGTCTCAAAAAACAGAAAACAAAATTAAATTATTTGCAGCTGGATTTATCACTACAAACACCGGCTTGAGTGCTGTCGGCTTTTGGAGACCACCGTCCTCTCTTCATGTTTAACCCAACCTGCGTGTGCCCCAGGACTGGGGACACTCAGCAAGCCGCACTCACTGCCAACACGCATGCACGAGCACGCACACACATATAGGCGAGCACGCACACACATATAGGCGAGCCCGCACGTGCATGGGCACAGGTGTACATGGGCACGCACGCGCACGCACGCACAATTCACCATGAGGAGTCGGATCACGCAGTTAGGGGACTGAGGAGTCCCAGGGCTGCAGCCAGCGAGCTGGAGACCCTGGGAGAGCCGATGTTTTGGTGCAAAGACAGGGGAAAACGCAGGAACCCAAAAAGCCCAACGCCGGAGCTCACGGGTGGCGGGGCAGAAGGAATTCTCTTGTTTCACCCTTTTGCTCTGGTCAAGCCTTCGGCTGATGGGGTGAGGCCTGGCGTGCTGCGCGCTCAGTCCACGCACTCAGTCTGCGCGCTAAGTCCACGCACTCAGGCTGTGCGCTCAGGCCACGCACTCAGGCTGCCCACCCGAGCGTCGGTCTCAGAAGAAACACCCTCGAGGTGGCACCCAGCAGGGATGATGTGTGACCCAGTGTCCGGGCGCCTGGTGGCCGAGCCCAGCTGACACATAAAAGTGACCATCGCGGATGGCCTCTTTCCCTCTTGATTCCCCCAAATTACACAAACACAGGGAAGTTATTTGCAGCAGAGTTGTGCTGAAGATTTGGGAGCATTACATAACAACAACTTAAAATAGGATGTTAGTCATCATTCTATTAGTCATGGTTGCCCGAAATTTCCTCCACCCTCTCGACCCCAACACCTTAAGCAAATTCCTAAGGTCCGGCACTCCCGGAACCCAGAACTCTCCTCCCCTTAACTTTCCGCCCCTTCACAGCGCACAGCGTGGCTGTGTCTCCCATAAAAGATGGCCCAGGCATTTCTTTCCATAGCTAAAGGCTCATCCGGGTGCTCTGCTGAGCAAGAGCTGTCCTCTCTGGGTGGCCGCCGTTGTTAGCAGTACAGAGCACTCACAAGGGTCTTGCGACGGCAGTCTCTCTTTACCTGTCTAAGCAGGACTGTCTTCTCCAAGGACCTCAGTGTGTCAGTCACTATAAGGAATGGGATTTGCTGAGGACGACGGATGACAGACAATTGTAAGGCTGGTGGCGGGCCCCCTCCCCTCCCTAGATCAAAAAAGAAAAGGCTCACGAGACCAGGCCCCACTGAGAACAACCACACCCAGGTGTCCACCTGGATAAGAAAGTTTTGGCTCCTGCATTCCGCAAATACCTCCAGCCCCTCCTATTTCTCAATGACCACCCAAGGTCACAATGGAAAATACCCAGCTCTTCCCGCCAAAAGTCCCTAGCCCGGCCTAAATGGTATAAAAGGCCTCACCCCCTTCAGACGGATGTGACTTCTCAGGCCCCCCTTTCTTGGGACCCCAGAACCTCATCTGGGAGCGTGTAATAAAGCCACATTGTTTGGCCCCACTCTTTATCTCGCTCTGTCTGTTTCTTTCACTGCCGGAAAACTTTACAACAATGACCCCCCCCATCCTCAGGAGGAGCTGCTGGACCGAAGGGGTTGGCCAGAGGTGACTGTCCTCACACTGGGCCCATCACCCACCTCCAGACCAGAGTCCCAGAAGGGCGACACCCTAATGGAGAATCAGAAGCAGAGACTGTGCGGTGGGCTCCCCTCTCTCACGGGGGGCATGCCCCTAGGCCGCACGAGAGGCTTTAAGAGAACCCCTCGGGGACACTGGGGGGATCCTGCAGAAAGAAGAGCCTGACACTCTACTTCCCCTGTGGGCGCTCGC